AGATATTTCATGGAAATGAAAAGGCTATTTTACAAAATTCTGGTAACATACCAAACATACTTTTGTACATATACATTTTATGAGCTAAATAAATATGCCACCTTAAGCAAATAAATGAATAAATAAACAAATAAGCACAAATAATGTTCAGTATTCAAGTTGTTCAATGTCCCAGTCAATAATTAGTGCAAATAAACCCATTTTTTTATTGAATCAGTTAAGATGATGATGATGTTATTGTTGGTGAGGAGTGTGGGTACTGGTAACGTGATAACAGTGTTAGTGTTTCTGACTGCAGTTTTGAGTAACCAGACTTCGAATCCTCCCTAGGGGGCATCCGTTTTCTTGACCGAGAAGCCTCAATTTCGTAATATGGATAGTGGTGGCTACCAGTGAAATCCAGGACACTCGTTTCGTTCCATTGTGCCTCATCTTGGAAACCACTTCATTATTATATAATCTTTATACTCCGCACTTCACAGAGAAGAAATGTATTCGAATTGGAAGTGAAGAGTGCCGAAAAATGATATGTCTAATGTAAGGAGAGTGAAGGGTAATCTTTCTGTGAAGTGTTAACATCTTTTATTCCATCAACTTGTATGGAATAATTAAGAGACGAAGGAGAGATATCTGGCTTTTTAGGCTATAATCAATAGGTTATGACATCAGTGTCATGTATCTAGTCCTTAGTTCTGATACTGACTTATTAACTGAATTCATTTTGAAATATGATAACCAAACTTGGTACGTGACCATCGTGGTGCATTTCGAAGTAATGCCAGACAAATGACAGGAAGACAGGGGACCTGGGATTATGTGCTTATCAGCACTTCTCAATAAGGCGTATCAGCAGTCTCGAAGGAATCAGCAGTTGGACAACTGTTTCAACAGCACACCCATGACACTAACTAGGGTCCACCAACTGGTTTGTGGAGCGGATACTCACCGATGACACAGGCTGATACCACGAAATGAACAACATTTGAATCCATGCGTGAACAGATTCCACACCATTCAGTAAATGATAGATATGTGGTGACCACCTGAATCTCATACTAGGACTAAACAGTCTCTAGTGCTTTATTGGCTTCCATAAATTATCTAACTGTGGTATCAGTTCGTACTAGATAATCATAAGTCAGTCAATCTGTCCAGCTGCCTCTCTCTCTCGCAGTCAAACCAATTAAGATCTTCCGACGGAATTTCAGCTACTTCATTGTTAATGAAACACTAAACTTCATGGAATGTAGTTAAATTCCTTTCTATTATTTTTAAAAACAAAAACTTGGTACATTATGGGCACCATGAAATGCTCCACGCAAACTGATGTATCATAGTTTATACGAGGGCTGGGATACTTCTCTGAAGTGCTGACTGAAGCAGATAGTTCTCTTATGAGGCTAACCACCTACCTCTTAACTTGAATTCTAATCCACAAGTCAGTGGAGCAGCGTCACGAGCTACATTCTCATGGTTTCCAATTGACCGAAACAGGTTCGTACTAAATTCAATCCTTCCGAATTCTGAAGCCCATTTACATCATAAGTGTGGGACCAAGGTTTCCCAGCTCCAGTAGATAGACTGGTACATCTACCAGTCCTGTTATAAGCACCAGACGTCTTCATTTGCTCTTTCACTTTTGTAAGGAACATCTCCAAGGCCGCATGAAAGTAGTCAGTAGGACTTATCTGGTCGATATGATGAAAGTGTGGTTAAATGAGAGTACTTCGAGAGAAAGACCGAAGTCTATTCAACCTCAGGCTTACCACACCATTTATTATTATATTTTGTTTATTTTGAATAAATGACCTAATAAAATGTCCAACATATTTAATAACGACAAAGTTAGTCACAGAGGAAAAAATGATGAAGTCACTGAAAGAGCATTAACATGTACTTATTCAGTGAATAATACACTAAGAAAAGGTCCAACATGTTCGAACTTGATGTGGCTTCATCCAGCCACATAACTACGCTTGTCTATATAATATTTGAATTTATTCCACATTTGGACAGAAAGGGTGTGTTATGTATTATGCATATGTAAATTTGCATGTTTGGCTATGCGCCTGTTTTGTAATTTAATATTTATAAAAAATAAAATTCTCTCTCTTTATGCTAAAGTGTCAACAAAATGTCAAAATTGTCAAATTAAAAAGATGAGACACCCAATATTTTCAATTTCTATTTCTTCGTCTAGCTATTTCGCTACCACTTTCACATACATTGGTCGTCTTTAACTCCTTTTGCTTGTCTTGTCGTCTTGTTGTTTTAACCCGGATAATGACTAATTCACTTGACTTGACAATATTTCTATTTGTATTTCTCTCTCTCTCTTTCGTGAAAAATACAACTTCATGTAGAATTCTTGTACAACATCGTGATGATAATTATGATGACGTGAAAGTGAGAACCGCTGGTGGTTTGGTTAGTGTAGGTACACGCGTTAGTCATGCATGACGGTGGCTATTTTGTTTAGTGTGTGTTGTTTCGCCAGCCAAGTATAATGTCATTTTTTCATTTTTATAAATAACAAAATAACTTTGTGCCATTATTATTATTATTATTATTATTACCTGCTTATCATGGCTTACTCAGAAGCTGTTGTGCATGTTCTCAGAGTTATTGTAGGCATGTGCATTTATAAAGGGATGTAAGTTCTTTTGTGCCAGCACAAACATGAGTATGCCGGCTCTCAGTTAGCATTATTTTAGACAGTTTGAAGGTTACTACTACTAAAAATAATCACAATAATTCTCAGACTACATCACGTGGAATTGGCGCGTATCCCTCTTTCTTATTTCAAATAATACCATATTAATATGACCAGTATTCTGTTCGTTAGTCATTGACCGACTATCCGTAACTAACTAACTAACTAACTAACTAACTAACTAACTAACTAACTAACTAACTAACTAACTAACTAACTAACTAACTAACTAACTAACTAACTAACTAACTAACTAACTAACTAACTAACTAACTAACTAACTAACTAACTAACTAACTAACTAACTAACTAACTAACTAACTAACTAACTAACTAACTAACTAACTAAACTAACTAACTAACTAACTAACTAACTAACTAACTAACTAACTAACTAACTAACTAACTAACTAACTAACTAACTAACTAACTAACTAACTAACTAACTAACTAACTAACTAACTAACTAACTAACTAACTAACTAACTAACTAACTAACTAACTAACTAACTAACTAACTAACTAACTAACTAACTAACTAACTAACTAACTAACTAACTAACTAACTAACTAACTAACTAACTAACTAACTAACTAACTAACTAACTAACTAACTAACTAACTAAACTAACTAACTAACTAACTAACTAACTAACTAACTAACTAACTAACTAACTAACTAACTAACTAACTAACTAACTAACTAACTAACTAACTAACTAACTAACTAACTAACTAACTAACTAACTAACTAACTTAACTAACTAACTAACTAACTAACTAACTAACTAACTAACTAACTAACTAACTAACTAACTAACTAACTAACTAACCAACTAACTAACTAACTAACTAACTAACTAACTAACTAACTAACTAACTAACTAACTAACTAACTAACTAACTAACTAACTAACTAACTAACTAACTAACTAACTAACTAACTAACTAACTAACTAACTAACTAACTAACTAACTAACTAACTAACTAACTAACTAACTAACTAACTAACTAACTAACTAACTAACTAACTAACTAACTAACTAACTAACTAACTAACTAACTAACTAACTAACTAACTAACTAACTAACTAACTAACTAACTAACTAACCTAACTAACTAACTAACTAACTAACTAACTAACTAACTAACTAACTAACTAACTAACTAACTAACTAACTAACTAACTAACTAACTAACTAACTAACTAACTAACTAACTAACTAACTAACTAACTAACTAACTAACTAACTAACTAACTAACTAACTAACTAACTAACTAACTAACTAACTAACTAACTAACTAACTAACATGAACTAACTAACTAACTAACTAACTAACTAACTAACTAACTAACTAACTAACTAACTAACTAACTAACTAACTAACTAACTAACTAACTAACTAACTAACTAACTAACTAACTAACTAACTAACTAACTAACTAACTAACTAACTAACTAACTAACTAACTAACTAACTAACTAACTAACTAACTAACTAACTAACTAACTAACTAACTAACTAACTAACTAACTAACTAACTAACTAACTAACTAACTAACTAACTAACTAACTAACTAACTAACTAACTAACTAACTAACTAACTAACTAACTAACTAGGAATAGTAATGCAGTGTCTACCAAGTCAGACATGAGAACAGTTACCCGCATGTGATACTGCCCGGCGGTTGAGCTATATATATATATATATATATATATGCGGAAGTTGAAATACATGGTTCATCTGATTGAGTTCCTGTGGCTGAATGGTCTACGAGCTCGGATTGTAAGTGCTGAAGAATCCCAAGCTGCGACGGAACGGCTGCCTAGTACACCCTTTCTTCAAATTTCCTCTAGCTGTGAAATCACCTCGTGATCAAAACTTGTGTTGGTTACTGGTATAAGTAAAAAACTTGGACACCGTGGTAGAATGTAACTCCATTATGGATAAGATTTTATTTTGATAAATCACACAGTGTTACACAGTAATATTAACTGATGACGTTTCGAGCACAAATTATTGCTCATAATCATATCAAGTAACTTGATATCAAAATAAAATCTTATCCATAATTGTGTTGGTTACAACGAAGTAATAACGTAGTTAGTATCTGGGTCTTGTAGTTCCAATGGTAAAGTGCCGAAATAGTAATTCAGGGGCCATTGGTTCGTATCCGTCCATGATCTGGATGTCTCTTTGGTCGTCAGTTACCTTTTAATTACCTTATCCCATAATTTATTTTTGTTGTTGTTTGTTTTAATCTTTTTGCTTTATTAAAGGTATTTATCGATTTATCATGGAACACTTCCCATATTATCGTGATAATCGCCAAGGTTGGCAAAATTCAATCAGGCATAATTTAAGCCTGAATGACTGTTTTGTTAAATTACCACGGGATAAAAGTAGGCCAGGGAAAGGGAATTATTGGACATTATCAACAAGTGCAGATGAAATGTTTGAACATGGAAATTATAGGTAAGAATCAATGATTTTGTCTGCATGTGATATGCACATTCATACCTCTGAATGAATAGCAGTCAGTGTTAATTATTATTATAAGCTGAAATTTTTGTCCCTAATTCCTCGTTGTTTGATTCTATTGGATCGAAGTGTTGCACCTCGGCTCCTAGTATGAACACTTTGTGTACGCCTTAAGGTTAAAATGGTGTTACTTTATTTGAGACCAGTAAACTAACATTCTTCTCTTTGAACTCAAAGAATTCCCACAGCGTCTATACTAACAGCAGTGTTTAGATACTTAATACTTCCCTTTTTCAGACACTGTATAAGTTAATTTCCTCTTGGAATACCTGAAACAGAAACACCACTAGTATACCATGACCACAGAGTACAGGGGACAATTGCTTGATGTAGATCAATCAGCTTGTTTAAACCGGCCTTTAGAGCTGTGTCCGTATTAAGATTTTGACGCCGGTAACGAGTCGTCGAAAGATAAGTTGGGCTGCACTATTTTCAAGAATTACTTTTTCCTCATAGCGAAGAGGCTGAGAGAAGCAGTTGCATACCACTCAAATCAATCTGCTGTGCTTGGAAATCAGCCAGATCGAGGTGATCTAAATGCCGGACGTCTGTTTGGCTCGTTTTAGGTCGAGCCCATCGGCAGTGTGCCCGGTTTGACTTAGTTCAGACAGCCGAATCGGTTCAAACCACCCAAATTCTGGTTAGCAATTTGAACGGACTGGTTACAACATAAATCAAATTCACGATTCGCAAATTAGTTTGCAGTTTATAAGCACTACACTGTTTAACATGAGTAGTGTACAACTATTCATCTCAGCCAATCAGTAGTATGCAGTTTTATTCAGATACGTTTGCTTTCTTCATTACCATTTATGGTATCAAGCTACGATCTGAATAATTTACTTGTCAAACGAAACTGTGGTGAAAGTTTCGCGCCTCGAACTGTGTACAATGAGAATTGCTAAGTAATTTTACAAATTCTGAATGTGAAGGGGCTGCATAGTTGGCGTGATGGTCGGCCTAGGCAAGTACCTTACTGCTGTTACTTCTCTGTTCACCCTCAGATTCCCGATATTGTGTGATCGACTTGCGCTATAATAGTGACTGGTCTTTATGCAGGTGCTAGTCTAACCACTTTTCTGTCATGGGAGGACCAACAGGAATATTGATTTCAGCTAGGATAGCCTCAATGGTTCCCTGTGATATAGAACCCTGGCCACCACTTCAAGGTGGCAGCTATTGGTTGGGTAAGCGTCAGTACCAGGACCTGATATGTCATCGCAGTGATGGAACATTTCGGTTCAATATAACTAATCAGTAGGAAACACCGAATTAAAATTTAAGACAAATAAATTACGCCACCTTCAGCCAATTACAGATATCGGAATACTTTTAGTGCAAAGTGATCTTTCAACTAACAGATTTTCCATTTTTACCATCGCAGTCTACATAAATCACCTAATACTGTTTACAGTAGTTAGTTAAAGGAATAACTGAAAATATTCCAGAATGGTAAATCAGAGAGGATGCAATACGGAATAAGACTGAATACTTCTGCTTTCCTCGGAAATTAGTGTAATGTGTGCTACTGACGAGATTTATAAGTAGTATGTATATGCGGTTATGAATATGTATATCAACTGCAAGAATACTGAATACTGGAAAGATGCATTAAATGAACGACGCTTGTGAAATGATATAGAAAACATGAGGGGAGACAAAGAAGCACAATACGGATGACAGAGCAGGTGAATACCGAAGATACGTGCAAACTGCAATTTAAAATATGGTAGACGCACTTCGCTTATACCTGTGTATCGAACTGCCAGTTACCAAACATCCTTGTCTTCTGTTGTTACACCAGAATAGAATTTCATTTATAATCAAGTAATGTAACCGTACGCCTTGAGTTAATACTGACTAAAATCAACCATTTGTGTCCACAATTATCCAGTGTGTATATAGTCCCTTATAGAGTTCCAGTTATTGATGATGTCGTCTAAAGTAACTAACACACTAGCATGGATGATAAAGCAATTCTCCCCAGCAAACTTAATAGTTTCGATAATATTTTAGAAGACGGAGATTATCTGAAAATTGTCATGTGATGTATTTGAGAAACACATTTCAAACAATCTGATCACATATTTATTTGTTAAGACAATTTTTATGACAAATGAAGGGCAGTTAAAAAAACCCGCAGTGATAAGAGATTTAAGAGTAAGAAGCATAAAAATAATTAACACCACATTTAATAATATAATCACATAAGGATTATCAGGGTAGTTTAAGAGTGTTGATAAATTACTTCTGTACACACAAAATGGTATTAAATTAGTTGTGTTCTCTGAGCTTGTTGATTTAATTGAGGAGCTTTCGTTTTCCTTCTAGAAAACATCTTCAATGCAGGTTTTAGTACAAGATGAACTCATTTAAATTTTCCGTGAATGTTGTAATTGTAACACACAAAGAGGACTCAAGTTTCCGGACAGCTATCGCCTCTGCTTACTTCTGTATACGACCATGACGATTTTAATGAATTTAAGATTTTTCTATGGACGATAGGCTGCCACCTTCGTTCACTGAGGTTTCACAATTCATTTTTCTTCGAACCATTTGGGTTTATTTGTTCTCCGACCCTCAAGTGCAAAGCGCAATTACTCCTTTCTATGTATGTTTGACCACACACACGCACACGCACATATACACATAAGTTAGTATATGGTATGGGATAAGACATAATCAATTGTGTTGAGGCTTGTAGTAGAGTATATTTCTGGGTGTCTCCATAATTACAAGTCTGGCAGAATAGTAATTATTTAATGAATAACTGCATTCAGTTTATACCTTAATATCCTACTCTTTGTTTCCCCATTGTAAGGTAATCTGATGTAGACACCATTTTTTGTGAGGAAATAGACTGTAGGCCTTTTCTGAAACTAACTGACCTCTCCATTGGCTTAAAACCCTTTAAAGGATATTCATTTTTGAGAAGTGCATCTGTCAATATTTTGGTATCACCGTCTATGGCATCATCTGTGTACAGATACCCTGAATCCTCTTGAATAAATACTTAACCAAAGGTAACAACGTAATAGTGTATAGATGCATATAAATGTATATAACGATGAACAGGTTTTTGGAATAACCATAATAACTTTAGCAACAACAATAATAACCATTTCTCTTTTTTCTTTTCTCTTGCAAAAAATAATTCAACAGACGTCGAAAAAGACGTACTAAATCGTCAGTATTTTCACCAACTTCAATGTCTATATCATCACAATCTCTGCCTTCGTCAACATGTACAGCAGTGGAAGCACCAACACCAACACCAACAGGATCAATAGTATCTCCTCCTAGAGGAAGATCATCTTTACCTGCTATTTCGTCAAGAATATCAGAATTTATTAGTTTACCTAAAGAATTAATTATTCCAACAGAATGTGATTTGCACTCATCTGCTTCATCGTCTTTATCCTCGTCATCGTCTTCCCATTCCTCCGCCTCACCATCTTCAGCATCCTCTTCCTGTTCAACAGCATCTTCTATATCAAGAATGCCAGTCGACACAACTGCACTGCAGCAAACACCTATGCAGTATGATGAAAACGTCTTCTCAAAGAATAATAATAATTTCTCCTATAATCAGTGTTCAGATTCATTAAATCTATTCACAAATTCATTTAATACAATTTATAATCCACCAGCATGGACTACTAATATTGACAACATAAGTAGTAAATGCATGCAGTATCAATTATCTTCGAATAGTAAACTGTATCCAAATGGAACGAAAAATAGTAGTAGTAGTAGTTTAATAATAATAATAATAATAGTTCACCGTCAGAGGAGAACCAACTGAATACATCCAGTTCAACTGAGTCAACGAATCGTTCAAACTTCTCTACACACAATAATAATAATAATAATAACAGTGCCAATGGCATGGTGAATTGTTTACCGAATTTTTCAATTCAATCTTTAATCGGCAGCGGGAAATCGCATACAGCGACGGTGACAACAACAACAGCAACTACCGAGGAGATTATTCAGAGTTAGGAAATTAAATAGCACACTGGTGAGTGTGTGTGTGTAAGTGCGTCCACGTCTGGGTGTTTAAAGCTGTTGCTTCGTTGTTTACCGTTTGAAAATGTGATTATGGTTCAGTGTAATCAAATACTGTCTGCCTCCGTATCTGCTTACATGACTGACTACTGTTCTCTGTGATCTAACAATGTTTGTTTGTGTTTGTGTGTGTGTGTACATGTGAATTAGTAACTGATTGACATTCATTTTGTTTTAGAATATTAATAATAATAATAACAACAATAAAATATGACAATAATAAGTTAACTGTATTAAAATTTAGGAAAAACTTATTTATATATCGATCTTGTTTTCAGCCTTCCTTTTTATGATGTAATAAAAGTGTATTCTATGCTCCATTCATCTTACTCATATTAACTTTCTGACAACACTGAATACTGGCTGATTGACACGTTGAATCAATTAGTTTATATGGAACATTGTACATTTTTGAATTGATGCATGTTTACATACCTGCATCAATTCCACACACCCCTATGCCTCCGTCTGTCCGTTTGTCTATTCAACTGTCTCTCTCACACTGTTTACTCAGTCGCCTACTTTAACAATTTAACATTTTTTGATATAAAAAGTTTGTTTAAAAAAGTTATAATAAGACCATTTGAAAGTGACGAACCTTCCGTTCTTTTTTATTTTGTATTTAACAAACAAAAGCACAAGTTTTGTTGGCGAAGCGAACAGTCGAAAACCTCGTCACGAAATAGCCGACATCAGTTAGATAATCTTTGAGAAATAACAAGGAGTACTTGATAGCTGTTTTGTCCTACTTTGAGATTTTTCAGTAATGCTCATCAAATAGCTTACCAATCCTCGGACTCAGAACCCTCAGGTAATAAGGCTAGCCTATTAACTACTGGACCACTGCGTCCATATTCAGTCACTTGTGAATTTTAACTTCTCTCGAATCGCTATTTAGCGTAACCTCTAACGAATCCTACCATCATCAACCCAGTAGTCACTAATGAGGCGGAGAATCACATTCAGACTTTCGGGTTATTGTGGATTAACAAAAGTTAGAATTCAGGGATGATTGAATTTTGAGTGACTTAGTAGTTGAATGGTAGAATGGTTCGTCTTGTAACTTGAAGCTCCTTGAAAGGAACCTTGAATAAGTCAATAAATTGAGGATACTGTTTTAAGCATTAGGCTGAGTAAAGATTCAGTTAAGTAATTTGATTAGTTATAAACACAAGATAGTTGTCATTAACGGACAAATAAATGCGAGGTAGAATGCTCGCCAACCAAGCCTCATGTGGTTCGAGGTTCGACCCCCAGCCGACTCACTCCTTCGCCTCCCTAAGCCAGTAATAAGACTGGTAAAGACGGAAGGTTGGGCATAAGGCTAGCAACTCCATCCCGTAAAAATGATCACCACTGCTACCTAAACTTCAAAGCTCTAGCTTGAAGCCCTATGTTCCACTGGGGAACGTGAAGGGAAAAAAACAGCGTTCTATGGAAACTGAATGATGCATCACACAGCTACGCTTGATTTCTCGGCTGCTATCTTTATGGTATCAAACAGATTACATACATTTTAATCTAGATAATTTCGTTTTTCTAAGGGAAACTGCGATGGAATTTCACATGGAATTGTAAAAATTGTAAATCTCGAATTAATTTCTAAATTGCGATTTCGATTCGGTGTACCACCAGTTCGCCCAAATGGCTAGATAGCAAGAATTCAGGTTCTTTGAACTCATTCAGCTTTCTGAGCTGAATTGCAACCGGGTAAAATATTGATGAGCTTGGATGCAAACGAGCTAAACGGTCGTCATGTATTTAGATCACTTTGATCTGGCTATCAAACACTGCTGGATAACGTGACTGGTATCATCGACTTTCAACAGCTTTGACAATGAAGTAATTTGGAAACTGCTTCAACACTACAGGGAGCCAAAAAATATTTCGCAACCTCATTCAGTAGCCATATAATGATGTCACATGTCAAGTGATTTACAGAGGAGAATCCAGTGAAGCCTTTGAAGTGAAGATGGGAGTAAGACAAGTCGGCCTACTATCACCTGAGAGCTTCATGGTTATAGTGGATTGGATCATGCAAAAGACCATAGGGAGCAAGAAGACAGGCCCAGGTTGCACCAATGAAAAGACATTGGAACATCCGGATTTCGCGGACAGTCTATGTCTACTGTCACACAAATCTGAAGATTTACAGGCGAAAACCAAGAAGCTGTCAGAAAAGACAAGCAGAGAAGAAGGGATATCAAGTGAACACAGAGAAGACACAGATGATGAAGATACCTAACCGACAACATCAATAAGCATCAACGGGAGTAATTTGAAGGAAGTTACCTCTTTCACTTATCTGGTTAGTCAGTATCTTTTCAATTACAGGTGGTACACACGAGGATGTCAAAGACAGAATCGGAAGAATAAGATAGATTTTCATTCATCTGAAATCCGTGTGGAAAATTGGTGCACTTAGCATCAGGAACAAGATCCGAATTCTGTTCAACACTAATGTTAAGTCGCTTCTTCCATATGGTTCAGAGGTTGTGCATACGCATCACCAACACCCTTTCCAACAGTCTGCTGGAAATCTTCAACAACAACTACCTTCTCTGTCTCGACACTGAAGATCAGATGGCCAGCCAGAAACGAGCTCTCTCTCCCAAAAATTATACAAACAAAAGGAAAAGGTAGATGTGAATTAGACAGACACTGAGCCGAGGAGAGTGTTGAAAGACATCGCGAGCTAGGCAAACTCCTTGAGTGGAACACGAGTAGAAAACGAGGAGTATATTGATAATGGGTCAGACGATGGCCTGGATGCGATCGCGTGTGTAGGAGGAAATGAAAACCCATGGACTAAAAAGGACTGCACGGAACACAGTGGAATGTAGATGTTCTGCTCAAGCCCTATGGTCCACTCAGAACCCAGCGGGTGGGATATTAAAAATAAGAAGAACTTTTCGATAAAGTCTATCAGTCGCCTTCAACTGGGAAGAACCAAGTGCCTTTCTATAAGAAGTATTGCTTTGTTCTCCTTAATATCCAGTTTATATATGATTATAAATACAGTGTTTGAGTTAAGATGTATACGCATAAGGGGCAATTAATTATTTCACTATTTAACACAATTTTTCACCTAAGGTAGGTGCATGTTTCAGTTGTGTGTTTATTACTCCATAGTGTATGTATGTGTGAGTGTGTGAGTGCGTGGAAGTGAGACAGAGACAGAGAGGATAGAGACTGTAAATAAATAAATAGCTATGAGGTGTATATATATATATACACATTTTTAAGTCATTTTTCACTCCCCTCCTCCTTATTTATGAGGCAGTATAAGTCGAAATTTCTCACAGGATATATATATATATATCTATATGGAGACGTCTGGTTAAAAAATTACCAATATGAAGTGTTTAAATACAAAACAAATAGTTGTAGATGAAGCGAAATCACACAGATATACTTAGGACAGTTATCATAAATAAACTCCGTCTTTTATAATTATTATTATTACTATTATAAATTATAATATCCTGTTTATGAGAGATTCAGTACATGATAAATGTATATTTGATAAGAACACTCCTTTCTAAAGGAAAGGGCAGTGGAATGAAAATGGGAAGGCCAATTATATTTGGCTTACTATATAACAGCAGCATAACAGAGATGAAGATTATCATTGTCGCGAGTTGGGAGTAATTAGGATTGATGGGCCATTAGGTCTGGTCTCAGTGGCTGAATTTCACACGAGCTCGTCTTGTGCCCTGAATGTGTTGGATTCAGTTCCTAGAGGTGGGATCATGGTTGCGTGCCAATGAAGAGCTCCAAACAGGGATTAAGCAGTCATTTTATGATCAGTCTTGAAATTATTATTATTATTATTGCACACTTGCCTATGTGAAACCACTCAGAGTCGTTAGACTCATACAGTTAAAAATTACAAGATAAGAAACAGAGTTTTATCCGTATATTGTATATCTGCAGGAACTTATCTAAAAAAGCTTGCCCGCAACCTATAGCAAAATTAATTTTGCAAATGTTGTATTGCCATGATTTCGAATAAACTTCAGTAGTTAGATCTTCGTCACGAACCAGTGTCAGTTAGAAAGATCAGTGAAAACCAGGGAGCACTGAACAACTGTTTCATCCTATTTTGCACTTTTCAGCAACGTGTACTCACGAGCCCAGGACCTTCGCATCACTAAACCAAGCTGGCTGACTATTTTCAGCCACTCTGACTGAAATTCCCTAACCCGTGAACAATCATCAGCTCGCTGATGGCTACTGGATGGACTTCCTGAAGCTACAGTGAGAAATCGTAACAAGTGGGATCCACCATTTCAAGGTGAAGTGGATTCTCGTCGAAAGCACTGATGGGAGGCAGCGCTATATCACAAGTTGACAAAGTTGGAATTCAGGGGTCATTAAATTCCGACCTGATTGGCTGAATGCTCAACAAGCTTGGTGTGGTAACTTGAAGGTCTCAGTTTGTGGATACACACTGCTAAAGAGAGCCAAAACAGGACAAATCAGCCATCCAGTGCTCCCTGGTTTTCAGTGGTCTGTCTAATTGGTATTGCTTGCCGAAAATCTAAAAATTGAAATTAATACAAAATCTTCACAAATCTACCTATAATCTTTATTTTACGAATAAACTCAAGTTGGATTTCATTACGAGTTGATATCAGTTAATAAGTTGTCTGAAGCTAGGAAGTAGTGGATAGAGAATTCGTCTTGGTTTTGGGTTTCACTGGGTGAAAATTCAAGACCTTTAGATGACCAAGTGACGAGTTTACCATTCAGCCACCAGGAATGAATCTTATGGTTTATGAACGCTTATTACAATTATTCCTATTCCCATAGGTTCCTGGTGGAGCATCTCAATATCATTCTCATAAGCTTTCATTTTCTCTTTATACTGTGTCCCATATGAAATCCTCGGTGCTCCGCCCAACTCGTCAATTTCTGTTCTGGTTCTACTCGATGACATGAAGTATGATCATGTCACTCAACAGTCGCTTAAGAGCATATCAAATCCATGTCCAATTTCGTCAGCATATTTGTTGGATAATGCGTTCTTGGTTAGTTGTTTGACAGAGTCCCTTGTTGCTCATACTTTCTTGCCATCTGATCTTCAGTATTAGGCCATTGAAGGTAAGTGTTGATGACCTTTCCGATCTGTGGACAATACAAAAGCCTCCACTCGACACTGGTGTTAATAAATCTGAGCTTGTTCCTCGTATTACTGAGTGCAGTAGATGCACACACTGATGTCATATGGATGAAGGTTAGACTTGGTTTTCTGATCCTACCTTTGACACCCCCTACTTGTGCCCCCTGTAGTCTAAGCGATGCAATCTAGATTGGTGGAAGACATGACTTCCTTCATATTTCGCCAGTTGACAGTGGTTGACGCTTGATGGTGTTGTTTGGGTACTTTCGTCACCTCTGTTTTTTCCACCTTCGCTTGAAGTTCACTGGTCACCGCTGCTTCTCCCGGAAAATTCTTGGTCCCTGTCTGTATGTCTTCCAGTTTGTGTGACATTAGGCGTAAATCATCTGTGAAGT